ACTCTCCTACCTCATGGAGATTAGAAACCACACTACTGGAAGACCACTGGACTAATGAGGAGATAAAAGAAGAAATTAAAAAATTCTTTGAATTGAATGACAAGGAGGACACCAATATCCTAAATGTATGGGATGCAGCAAAAGCAGTGATAAGAGGAAAATATATAGCAATAGAGGCTCACATCAAGAAACAAGAAAGAACTCAAAGAAACAACCTAATCTCAAACCTCAAAGATCTAGAAAAAGAACAACAAAAAAAAAACCCAAAACCAGTAGAAGAAAAGAAATAATAAAAACCAAAGCAGAAATAAATGAAATTGGAAAAAAAAAAAAAAAACAATCCAAAAGATCAACGAAACCAAGAGCTGGTTCTTCGAAAAAATAAATAAAATAGACAAACCCCTAGCCAGGCTCACAAAGGAAAAAAGGGAGAAAGCACAAATAAACAGGATCATAAATGAAAGAGGAGAAATCAAAACGGACACAGCAGAAATCAAAAGAATCAGTAACTACTATGAACAGTTATATGGAAACAAGTTCAACAATCTAGAGGAGATGGACAAATTCCTACAACTCTACAATCACTCAAAGCTAGATAAAGAAGAAATGGAACACCTAAACAGACCAATTACAAGCAGCAAAATTGAAATGGTAATCAAAAACCTCCCCAAAAACAAAAGCCCAGGACCTGATGGATTTACAAATGAATTCTACCAAACATTCAGAGACGAATTAGTGCCTATCCTTCACAAACTCTTCCAAAAAATTGAGAAGGAAGGGACAATACCAAACACGTTCTATGAAGCCAACATTACACTAATACCAAAACTGAACAAGGACAACACAAAAAAGGAAAACTACAGGCCAATCTCCCTAATGAACACTGATGCAAAAATCGTCAATAAAATTTTAGCTATCAGAATCCAACAATGTATCCATAAGATAATTCACCACGACCAAGTAGGATTCATGCCAGGGACACAAGGATCGTTCAACATCCAAAAATCAATCAACGTTATCCAATACATCAACAAAAAGAAATATAAAAACCATATGATAATATCAATAGATGCTGAGAAAGCTTTCAACAAAGTGCAACACCCATTCATGATAAAAGCCCTTGAAATTCTTGGGATACAAGGAACATACCTCAACATCATAAAGGCCATATATGACAAGCCAACAGCCAGTATCATTCTCAATGGTGAAAAGCTGAAAGCAATTCCATTAAATTCGGGAACAAGACAAGGATGTCCACTCTCACCACTGCTTTTCAATATAATACTGGAAGTCCTAGCCAGAGCAATAAGACAAGAGAAAGACATCCAAGGAATCCAAATAGGAAAAGAAGAAGTCAAACTATCACTATTTGCAGATGATATGATAATATACATAGAGAACCCCCAAAACTCCACAGAAAAACTAATTCAACTCATCAATCAGTTCAGTAAAGTGGCAGGATACTAAATCAACACGCAAAAGTCAGTAGCCTTCCTATACACAATAAATCTGAAGAAGAAGAAATAAAAAAAAATCCCTTTTATTATCAAAAAAAAATCAAATATTTGGGAATAAATCTAACAAAAGAGGTAAAGGACCTATACAAAGAAAACTATAAAACACTTTTAAAAGAAATAGAAGAAGACACAAAGAAATGGAAAGACATCCCCTGCTCATGGACTGGAAGAATAAACATTATTAAAATGGCCATCCTACCAAAAGCAATATACAGATTCAATGCTATTCCAATCAAAATTTCAATGTCATTCTTCAAAGAAATAGAACAATTATTGATGAAATTCATATGGAATCACCAAAAACCCTGAAAAGCCAAAGCTCACCTGCAAAAAAAAGAAGGGAATGGAGGCATCACACTCCCAGACTTCAAACTATACTACGAAGCCATAATCATCAAAACTGCATGGTATTGGAACAAGAACAGACATACAGACCAATGGAATCAAATAGAAAATCCAGAAATAAACCCACAGATTTATGCATTGGAGCAAAGAAAGATTGTTCAATAAATGGTGCTGGGAAAACTGGGTCACTACATGCAAAAGAATGAAGCTTGACCACTACCTCACACCATACACAAAAATCAACTCAAAATGGATTAAAGAACTAGACATAAGACCTGAAACCATAAAATACATAGAAGGAAATATAGGCGAAACACTACGTGATGTTCATATCAAAGACATCTTTATATCTTTACATCTTTACATCACCCAAAGCAGTGATAGTGAAGGCAAAGATAAACAGCTGGGACTACATCAAATTAAAGAGCTTCTGGGCCTCCCCGGTGGCGCAGCGGTTGAGCGCTGGGTTGCGAAGCTGTCCGCGGCCTCTGCAGCGCCGGTTCGATCCCCGGCTGCTCCCCGGCCACCGGAGGAGGGTCCCACACGGTGCGCAGACCTCTCTTGCAGCCCGCTGCTCCCCTCAGCAGTGTACTTCGGTCCTTCTGCCTACTCTGCTCCCCGCTCTGGCTCTGGTGAATTCTCTCACCCTCCCGCGCTTCTGACTGTACCCAGTGCATGTATAAACAAAACAAACAAATAAATAAATAAAATAAAAGCATGCCTCTATAAAAAAAAAATTTAAAAAAAAAGGAAAAAAAAAATAAAGAGCTTCTGCACAGCAAAAGAGACAATAACAAAAACAAAGAGAAATCCCACCAACTGGGAGAACATTTTTGCACACAACACTAATGATAAAGAACTGATCACAAAAATCTGCAAAGAGCTGATGAGACTCAACAAAATCAAAGAAAATAATCCAGTCAAAAAATGGGCAGAAGAGGGCCTCCCCGGTGGCGCAGCGGTTGAGCGCTGGGTTGCGAAGCTGCCGGCGACCTCTGCGGCGCTGGTTCGATCCCCGGCTGCTCCCCGGCCACCAGAGGAGGGTCCCACATGGCGCGCAGACCTCTCCTGCCGCCCGCTGCTCCCCTCAGCAGTGTACTTTGGTCCTTCTGCCTGCTCTGCTCCCTGCTCTGGCTCTGGTGAATTCTCTCACCCTCCCGCGCTTCTGACTGTACCCAGTGCATGTATAAACAAAGAAACAAACAAATAAATAAATAAAAAACATGCCTCTATAAAAAAAAAAAAAATGGGCAGAAGAGCTAAAAAGAAACTTCTCTGAAGAGGAAATGCAAATGGCCAACAGGCATATGAAAAAATGTTCAACATCACTTGTAATCAGGGAAATGCAAATCAAAACTACCATGAGATACCATCTTACACCAGTGAGAATGGCACATATTAAAAAAGCTAACAACAACAAATGTTGGCAAGGGTGTGGAGAAAAAGGAACTCTTCTGCACTGTTGGTGGGAGTGCAAACTGGTCCAACCACTATGGAGAGCTGTGTGGAGATTTCTGGACCTACTAAACATAGAGCTTGCATATGATCCAGCAATTCCACTCCTAGGTATTTACCCAAAGGACACAGAAACATCAATTCCAAAGGGCACCTGCACCCCTATGTTTATAGCAGCACTATTTACAATAGCTAAGCTTTGGAAACAACCCAAATGCCCAAAAATAGATGACTGGATCAAGAAGATGTGGTACATATATACCATGGAATATTACTCAGCATTCAAGAAAGATAAACACATGCAATTTGCAGCAACACGGATGGCGCTGGAAGGGATCATGCTCAACGAAATAAGCCAGAAAGAAAAAGAAAAATACCGGATGGTCTCACTCATAGCAGGAATCTAGAAAACTTAAATAAGGGACCAGGAAAATGAATAACTATGAGAAATTGAAAATCAAAATCAACAAAAAACTATGAACCAAAGACACTCTATGGGGGGTAGGGAGCAGGAGGGGAGGGATTGGGGTCAAAATTAGGGGGTTGCAATTGTATGGGGAATATAAAAATAAAATTTATTATAAAAAATGTTATGTATACTGTCCAGTATATCCTGTTATTCTGTACACACACTCTGAAGCCTAATTTTGTACTTTTGTGAGTTCTGAAAATCTGGAGGTTATCTTTGAAACTCAAAATGTCATTCAGGTATTGTTAGTTTTGCTTTGACTACAACAGGACTTTTTATCTGAAGAGCAAAGTTTTTCTTCAGCTCAAAAAAACTATCTTTTCTAAAGAATGCTTTTCTATTTGTTCTGGAATTTTCTTATAGATATGCCAATAACCCACATATTGCATGCCCATTCTATCTTCTGCAATTTTTTTAATATTTTGTTTTATATAATTCTTACATCATATTTCATTTTTGCACAATGTATGCATTTTCATTTTGGTTATATTCCCCATACAATCACTCCCCGCCCTTATTTTGACCCAATCCTTCCTCTCCCCCCACCCCCTGTAGTGTGTCTCTGGTTTATAGTTGCTTGTTGATTTTTACTTTGTATTAATTAGTCTTTTTTCCTGGTCCCTCATTTAGGTTTTCTAAATTCCTGCTATGAGTGAGACCATCCGGTATTTTTCTTTTACTTTCTGACTTATTTCACTGAGCATGATCCTTTCTAGCTCCATCCATGTTGCTGCAAACTGCATGTGTTTAATCTTTTTTGATTGCTGAGTAATATTCCATTGTGTATATGTACCACATCTTCTTGATCCAGTCATCTTTTTTTGGGCATTTGGGTTGTTTCCATAGCTTAGCTATTGTAAATAGTGCTGCTATAAACATAGGGGTGCAGGTGCCCTTTGGAATTAATGTTTGTGTGTCATTTGGGTAAATACCTAGGAGTGGAATTGCTGGATCATATGGAAGCTCTATCTTTAGTAGGTTGAGGAATCTCCACACAGCTCTCCATAGTGCTTGGGCCAATTTGCACTCCCACCAGCAGTGCAGGAGAGTTCCTTTTTCTCCACACCCTCGCCAACATTTGTTGTTGCTAGTTTTTTTAATATGTGCCATTCTCACCGGTGTAAGATGGTTATCTCATTGTGGTTTTGATTTGTATTTCCTTGATTACAAGTGATGTTGAACATTTTTTCATATGCCTGTTGGCCATTTTTCAGCAATTGTTTTTGAGGATGCAGTAACACAGAGAACCAAGGACAAAAGCAGTTCATAAATTCAGGTTTGTCTAAAGGCAACAGTTCTGCAGTGGAAAAAATTTTGAGGAGCAATGATGAGCCTTCTGATGCGAGTATACTGGGAGAGGGTTACATGAGATCAGCGAGAACTGTGGGGTCTTGTTGCCATTGTACACTTAGTTTGTAAGTGTGAAAAAATGTCATTGAAGGATTTTAATGGGGCAGTGAGGATGTGATTTACATTTCACTGTCAAGATCACTTTCCCAATTTAAAGGAAGATGCTCTGTTGGTAGGAAGAGATGAATGTGGTTTAGACTAAGTTGGTAACAGTGTAGAGGTCAGAAGAGGGGAGATTCAAGATAACTGTGAGTAATAAAATCAACAGGATTTGTTAGTCACCTAGATATAGAAATGAAAGAATCAAGAATGACCAAGATTTCTAGCTCGGAACACCTGGTAGGTTTCTGATATACAAAAGACTGTGTTTAGAAGATAAAAATAAAGATTAGGAACAAAGTTAACTGTTTTAATGGAGATTCTAAAATAAATAAAAGTATAGTTTTCTCTAACTTAACGAGCAAGAGGTAAGCAGTCCAGAACTGGCAGGCAGTTGTGCCACAACATCTGGCTTAGCACTGGGCTCAAGGCAGCTGCTCCAGTTACCACCAATTCCAGCCAGTGAAAAGGGAAAAGAGAATATGGAGGCCAAACAATTTCATTTTCCAGGATGTATCTTGGAAATCACTTGTATCATCCAAAGAGAGAAGAAGGTCTGAGAACAAGTATTAAGAGACACTAACACCTACAGTCCAGTTAAAAGGAAGAAATTAACAACGACGACTGGAACAGTTACTAATTGGGAGCAAAGAGCAGTAGAAAAGAAATTTTCCTGGCTGTGCCCTGGACAGGATGGCATGAAACAGGGAAATCAGTATGGGCAAGAAAGTGAGTTGAAGAAGAAGAGGTAGAGAAAAGGAATTGGCTCAGGTAGCTGGCCTTCACAAGGTAAGAAAGACCCTATAATAAATGTGAGGAACACTAGCAAATTGGGCTCTAAAACAACATACTCTTTCAGCTCAAGAGGACAGCCCTAATATTTTGGGCTGGAAGAAAGGGTTGTAGGGCTATCACCTTAGGTAGGAAATATGTGACAATCTCCCAAAAGGAATTCTTGGGAGATGAGGTTCTTTCACATTTAAAAACAACAACAAAACATGTCTTTTAGCAAGAAAAACCAGTAACATTTCTTTATCACCATCTCCTAAAATCACCCAAAGGCATATATAACTCCAGTGAAAAGGACTGTGTTCGGAGCACTGGGAAAGGCAGTGTCACCCACAACGTGGCTGGACCCTCTCCTGGCCTTGGACCTGGAACTGTTTGTCACTGGGAGATAGAGGCCTCACAGCCTGTGCTGCACTTGTCACCTTGTATGGGAATTTTTCCGGTTCAGACTCAACGTGTGCACCTTTGTTCTGCTCACACATGTGCATCCCATGCACCTCGCCAAGACCACTACTCTACCTGTTCCCTGTGGGGAAAAGCTAGGATCCACCTACTGCAGTAAGAGAGGTGTGTGCAGGCCAACTGCCCTGTGTCAGTGACCGTGAGGGACCAGGTGGCCCTGGAGTCTACTACTGGAAATGTTCTTGCTCTGTGAGTGAAGCATTTTTCCACCCAGTCTTGCTTTTATTGTGATTTCCTTGGCAACTGTGATGCCAAGATGCAGTGGGGGCCGAAGTGTTCAGATTTCTGCTTTTATGGACTGGCAACAGGTGTCACTTGCTTCACATGGAGTCGGGTTCTGCTCTTGGCTGAGACGCTATTAGCTGTGTAAATCTGTTTCTCAGCTGTGTCACAGGCACAATCATGGTGTTCATTGAGGGCTCTTCTGGCTATAATATTGTTTTCCATAACAAAGACTATGCCCAAGACCAAAAGTCATTAAGGAGAACTTTCTATACATTCAGAAGCCAGCTAGAATGCCAACAGTATCTGTGGTTCTCAAATTTTACACATTTGAAACATTTGCTGAAGAAGATAGATTTATTCTAGATCAGAATTTCTCAACCTTAGCCAGATAATTTTTGGTTGTGGGCAGTTGTGGGCATTGTAGGATATTTGATTGTATCTTTCCACAACTCTGTCACAACCACCAAAACTGTTTTCAGATGCCAAATGTCCCCTAAAAGGCAACAGTGTCCCAGGTTGATAATTGATCTAGAAGTATTCCTTTAATCAGGATTAAATAATACACATAAACTTTATTTATCAATACCTCTATAGGTAGGAAAACTAAGACATTTCATGAAAAATGAAATATATTTTATGTACACTCAATATACAAAATACAGTAAAAGATGTGAAATAGAATTTGTGTCTTAACTATTTTGCAACTTTAATCAATAAACACTATTCCTTTTTTTTTAAGATTTATTTATTTATACAAGAACCGGGGTACAGGCCAGATGCGCGGGAGAGTGAGAAGATTCACCAGAGACAGATTGAGGAATAGAACAGGCAGGCTGAGGGGAGAAGCAGGAGAGACAGGAGAGGTCTGCCGCGCCATGTGGGATTCTCACTGGCCGGCCGGGATCAAACCCGCGCTACAGAGGCTGCGGACAGCTTCACAGTGAGGCGCTCAACCGTCTGTTCCACCAGGGAGGCCCTAAACACTATTCCTCTTAAGAGGTAAAAAAAAATTACAGATATAAACATTTAATTACAACACTAACCAATTTGTATTAACATTCCAGAATAAAAATAATTAAAGCTTTTTTCAAGGCTCCATAATGTCCTTAAATATTAACTAAAACAGACCTCCAATTTCGTAAGCCCAGTAACTAATGCCATTTGCTTTTAAACATAATTGATCTTAATCATCAAGCTAAACACATAACAAGAAAATAATGACATTGTTATTTGAAGATTGTCTCAGTCTACTAATCAGGCACCCTTAATACCAGCAGAAAATCTAAGGAATTCATGGATCAGCCCCCTAAGCATATCAAGGAGAAGTGTTAATACACTGGGCAGTTAGAAGATAATGGCAGGGGGGCCTCCCCGGTGGCACAGTGGTTAAGCACTGGGTTGCGAAATTGCCCGCAGTCTCTGCAGCACCGGTTCGATCCCCGGCCACCAGGCAAGGGTCCCACATGGCGTGCAGATCTCTCCTGCCGTGCAGACCTCTCCTGCCGCCCGCTGCTCCCCTCAGCAGTGTGCTTTGTCAGTCTGCCTGCTCTGCTCTCCTCTCTGACTCTGGTGAATTCTCTCACCCTCCTGCGCTTCTGACTGTACCCAGTGCTTGTATAAATAAATAAATAAATAAATAAATCTTTAAAAAAAAAAAAAAAAAAAAAGAAGATAATGGTAGGGGCCTCCCAGGTGACGCAGTCGGTTGAGCACAGTGCTGTGAAGCTATCCGCAGCCTCTGCAGCGTGGGTTAGATACCGGCCAGCCAGGGAGATATCCGCGTGGTGTGGCAGACCTCTCCTGTCTCACCCGCTGTTCCCTTCAGCAGTTCTTCTGCCTGTTCTTCTCCCTGCTCTGTCTGGTGAATCCTCTCACCCTTCCATGCCTCTGGCATGTACCCCAGCTCTTGTATAAAAATAAAATAAATAAATCTTAAAAAAAATAATAAAAAAAGATTAAAAGCCACACTACTGGAAGACCACTGGACTAACGAGGAGATCAAAGAAGAAGTCAAACTATCACTATTTGCAGATGATATGATAATATACATAGAGAACCCCAAAATCTCCACAGAAAAACTAATTCAACTCATCAATCAATTCAGTAAAGTGGCAGGATACAAAATCAACACGCAAAAGTCAGTAGCCTTCCTATACACAAACAATAAATCTGAAGAAGAAGAAATCAAAAAAACCACCCCTTTTATTATCGAAACAAAAAAAATCAAATATTTGGGAATAAATCTAACAAAAGAGGTAAAGGACCTATACAAAGAAAACTATAAAACACTGTTAAAAGAAATAGAAGAAGACACAAAGAAACGGAAAGACATCCCCTGCTCATGGATTGGAAGAATAAACATTATTAAAATGGCCATCCTACCAAAAGCAATATACAGATTCAATGCTATTCCAATCAAAATCTCAATGGCATTCTTCAAAGAAATAGAACAATTATTGATGAAATTCATATGGAATCACCAAAAACCCCGAATAGCCAAAGCTCTACTGAAAAAAAAAGAAGGAAATGGAGGCATCAAACTCCCAGACTTCAAACTATACTACAAAGCCATAATCATCAAAACTGCATGGTATTGGAACAAGAACAGACATACAGACCAATGGAATCGAATAGAAAATCCAGAAATAAACCCACAGATTTATGGTCAACTAATCTTTGACAAAGGAGCAAAGACTATGCATTGGAGCAAAGAAAGTTTGTTCAATAAATGGTGCTGGGAAAACTGGGTCGCTACATGCAAAAGAATGAAGCTTGACCACTACCTCACACCATACACAAAAATCAACTCAAAATGGATTAAAGAACTAGACATAAGACCTGAAACCATAAAATACATAGAAGGAAATATAGGCGAAACACTACGGGATTTGCACATCAAAGACATCTTTACAGACACATCACCCAAAGCAGTGATAGTGAAGAGAAAGATAAACAGCTAGGACTACATCAAATTAAAGAGCTTCTGCACAGCAAAAGAGACAATAACAAAAACAAAGAGAAACCCCACCAACTGGGAGAACATTTTTGCACCCAACACTAATGATAAAGGACTGATCACAAAAATCTGCAAAGAGCTGATGAGACTCAGCAACAACAAAGAAAATAATCCAGTCAAAAAATGGGCAGAAGAGCTAAAAAGAAACTTCTCTGAAGAGGAAATGCAAATGGCCAACAGACATATGAAAAAATGTTCAACATCACTTGTAATCAGGGAAATGCAAATCAAAACTACCATGAGATACCATCTCACACCAGTGAGAATGGCACATATTAAAAAAACTAGCAACAACAAATGTTGGCGAGGATGTGGAGAAAAAGGAACTCTTGTGCACTGTTGGTGGGAGTGCAAACTGGTCCAACCATTATGGAGAGCTGTGTGGAGATTTCTGGACCTACTAAACATAGAGCTTCCATATGATCCAGCAATTCCACTCCTAGGTATTTACCCAAAGGACACAGAAACATCAATTCCAAAGAGCACCTGCACTCCTATGTTTATAGCAGCACTGTTTACAATAGCTAAGCTTTGGAAACAACCCAAATGCCCAAAAATAGATGACTGGATCAAGAAGATGTGGTACATATATACCATGGAATATTACTCAGCATTCAAAAAAGATAAACACATGCAATTTGCAGCAACATGGATGGCACTGGAAGGGATCATGCTCAGCGAAATAAGCCAAAAAGAAAAAGAAAAATACCGGATGGTCTCACTCATAGCAGGAATCTAGAAAACTTAAATAAGGGACCAGGAAAATGAATATAAGAAAGTGAAAATCAAAATCAACAAAAAACTATGAACCAGAGACACTTTTTGGGGGTGGGGGGCGGGAGGGGAAGGATTGGGGTCAGAATGGGGCGTTTGCAATTGTATGGGGGAATATAAAAATAAAATTTAATATTTAAAAAAAAAAAAGAATTAAAAAAGGGCGTGTCTCAGACAGAATAGAGATGTGTGTCCTAAGATAAAGACACTTAAGGACATAGTCAAAGTAGGCAAGTGGCAACAAAACATAACGCTGTATTGAGAAGGTCAAGAAGATCTACCAATAAAATAAAAATGTTTAATAACTAGTGTATCAAAAGACTAAATGGAAATTAGAGAATTGAAAAAATATAGTAGGTGAAATTAAATGGCTGTCTAATAAGAAAAAAAAAAAAAAGATAATAGCAGGTCATTTTATTTAAACTTTTGAGATAATGAAACAATAGTGGGAACACTGAATTTTTGGGGGAGAGTGGTAACAAGATCATTAATACTTTATACTTGTGGCATATTCTAAGGTTTAAAGAATAAAATAAGCAAGAGAACTCTTGATATGAAAGTGCACTTGAAAGATGAAAGACTGTACTATAACTTTTATAGGCACAAAATACCTTAAGTTTCACAAAAGTCCAGTCTATCTTCATTATTTATTAGGAAGACTTCAAGTAGGCTGCCTGACAAAGCAGTTGTCTATAGTTGGCTCTTATTTACTATGTAGTTCTTGGGATAAACATGTTTATACTTTGACTGAACAGTCACATAGATGCCATAAAGATGGCGACTGTATATCACTAATCGGTGAAATTTTTTGCCTGCTTTCATGATTTCTTCATTCTTTTTTTCAGTGGATATAAGTTCTTCTAAAAACTTTGAGTCTTCTAAGTACAGCTCGTCTCCTGAAAAATATTTTAATTCCATAAAGCATTACTTTATAAAACATTCCAATATATTAGCAATATACAAATCAGTCTTTATTTTCTATTTCATGGATTTGAAACTAACCCAGTTAATAACCCTAACTTTACATTAAATAATCTAACTTTATGAGCTTACATTTCTTTTTTTGTTTTTGTTTTTAATAAGCTCCCTCCCCCCTTTGTTATACTCTCAGTCAAGAATTTCTTTGGCGGGCCTCCCTGGTGGTGCAGGCGGCTGAGCACCTCACTGTGAAGCTGTCCACAGCCTCTGCAGCGCAGCTTCGATGCTGGTAAGCATCCCACATGGTGAAGCAAACCTCTCCTGTCTCGCCCACTGCTCTCCTCAGCACTGTATTTCGGTCATTCTGCCTGTTCTGTTCCCCTCTGTCTCTGGTGAATCCTCTCACCCTCCTGTGCATCTGGCCTGTACCCCGGTTCTTGTATAAAAATAAATAAATCTTTAAAAAAAAAAAGAATTTCTTTGGGCACATAATATTGAGGACCAGTATTGTTTTCATCACAATCTGCAACTTTTCTTCTAGTTCATGACTGTAACATAGTCAATGTAAACATAAATCATCATACCCATCTAATTTTTGATGTTTCATTAAGGGCTGCTCCAATAATTTTAAGATTACATTGGAAGAATTATCATTTATACATCAAAACTGCTAAACTTTCTATCCATAGGCTGAGTGACAAATATCACTGAGAATGAAGACAGGTAGCTATGAAGTAAGATAGGTCACAAAGTCCACTCCAAGTTGTCACAAATGCTCCATCCTGTGCTCACCCTAAAACAGACCACCTACAAACTCCCTAATTCAAATAACTTAACAATTTACATGCTCTCATAATTCAAAATTAAAATGTAAAAAAGCAAGATAATGTGAGAAAGAAATCTGTCAGTTTAAGAACTATATTTACATATGTACATGCATATTATTTATAGTGATTTATTCAGAACTCTTTATAAAAATACCATGGATACTTTATATGTTTTGACTTTATTTAATTAATACTGTCTTAGAGTATAAAACACAGACTGTAACTCATGTCTTGGTGTTAGACAATACTGCCATACAGTTCCTTAAATGTGAATAATTAAAAAGTTAAATGTGAATACTGACACAAGCATCATGCTTTAGCGATTTACCTGGTAAAAGCTGGACCATCCCATCAGCTGTTAATAATGTGATCGGCAGAAATCTTTGCACCCCTTCCAATGCCTGATTCAAACAAAATTCGTGCAAGTCAGAGAAAGAGGCAAAATTTTCAAGTCTTCTTATTTCATAGAATTGTGGCGGGGCCAACCAAATTTCTTTTGATATGAAACTTTCCACTGCCTCTGATGGAGATGACCACTGTGGAAGAAAAAGATAGGATTTTCTAAGGTTTATTCCATAGACAATGCAAGATTTGAGACTGTTAGAACAATACCTAAGGACTAATTAAAGATATAAAATTAATTCATAGTGTACCTTGCTATATTCCTCTGAGATAACGTGAAAAAATTGGGTAGAAAGATTGGATGAGTTGATTCCCTTAAGGAGGCTGATTTAGGGCCTCCCCGGTGGCGCAGCAGTTGAGCGCTGGGTTGTGAAGCTGCCCGCAGCCTCTGCAGCGCCAGTTCGATCCCCAGCTGCTCCCCAGCCACTGGAGGAGGGTCCCACATGGCGCGCAGACCTCTCCTGCCGCCCGCTGCTCCCCTTAGCAGTGTACTTCGGTCCTTCTGCCTGCTCTGTTCCCTGCTCTGGCTCTGGTGAATTCTCTCACCCTCCCATGCTTCTGACTGTACTCAGTGCATGTATAAACAAACCATCAAACACACAAATAAATAAATAAAACATGACTCTATAAAAAAAATTAAATAAAAAAAATTAAAAAAAAAAAGAGGCTGATTTATTGGGATACTGATCTAGAGAAACAGGAGAGATCTGCAAGGGTTGGCCTGTGAGAACTGTTCAGCATAAAGGAAGGAGATGCTAAGAAGTCAAGATAGTGCTGGTCACTCCGAAGGAAGATGCTGAAATGTAAACTCATGGCAGGAGATTGAGAATTTGGTGCCCATTTGCTCCTTTCATAAATGAGTGTCTTGGTGAGGTCATAAGAATGTGGTGATAGACAAGACAGACTAAGGCTCTCTGAGGTCTTTAATAAGCAAAATACAGTGTGATCTGTGTCACATGTCAACAATATGGGTAAAAGCACAGGGGTAATAGGAACTTTCTGGGAGATCAAAGGGCAGACTATAATCACAGAGGTATATGTAGTAACTGCAGGGTATCACCAGACAGTATTTACCCATTTATCAATAACTTAAGTGTCCTCACTGCTGTGACCTGTGCTCCTTTCTAAGCCTGCCTTCCATATACAGTTTGATAAAAACAGCTGATTCAATGAATATGAAATAATCCCAAAAGGTCTTTCTTTCACTGGTCTATTAAAAACCCACTCTTAAATTGGAGGAAACCAATACCCATTCCCAAACCCAGAGAGTTAAAATTTACCTCTGCCTTAGATGGGCCATAGGCTGAAGGTCACAAACAAGATTATATGTGCTTAAACATCCACTGATAAACCTGCTAAAACTTTAATCTATGTGTTAAGCAATTTATGTTTAACAAGTATCTCAGATTATTCTGAAGTAGGCAAAGGCTGCATTTTGAGAAACAGAGCTCTGGTCTCAAAAGGACCACACAATCCATAAATTTTTTCCATAGCATTCTGCTTGCTCAATTCTATGTGAGTTGAGTGATAGGAATAAGATAAAGAGTTAAGTGACAGATTCCAACCCACTTATTTCAACCTGTCCAGATTAGTCTAGATCATCAGTGAAAATAATTTATCATGTATCAATTACTCATTGCCTATAAAGCACTGCTCTAAATACATTACATAAATATTCTCAGTCTTTAGGATAATCCCACATACTCTCATAGATGAGAAGCTCCTCTAGAAATTCTGAGTTTCAGACTTTGCAAGGGGTTGGGATGGTGGTGACCACTCTAAATTTCCTGTTTCCACACCTTGATATATAAACACTTTAGGCAAACAATACTTTGTTGTGAGAGGTTGTCCTATGCACTGAAGGTTGCTTAGCAGCATCCCTGGGATCTACCCAGGCTAGGTAGCCCCCAATTTTGACAACCAAAAGTATATCCAGACATTGCCAAATATATTCAGGGTTGGGATGGGCATATTCCCAGTTGAAACCACTAATGTAGAAGAGTTTAAGAATTTTTTACTGGAACCTCCTCTTTCAGCCTGAAGAACTATAATTACCATCTTCCATCACAATATAAACAACAGAGAGGTGGACAAAATCTGTAACATTACCTTTATCAGACACTGAAAATGTAGAATTTGTGAGAAAGGGAAAATGAAGTGAGTCCAACTATTACCCAGGCTTTCTGTCTCAAGGTAATTCCCAGGCTGAAGCACAAGAAAGGAGAACCTAATCAGAGTCTAGGGTTTTTACTGAGTTGAGGAGACACAGATCAGAGTTTGGGATGGCCCATACAGGCTAGAATTTGGAAGGCAGTATACCTGAGAATATAATCTGTAGAGGGTGCCCTTCAGTCTTTGCTAAACACTAATTTATATACATCAAGAGGTGAAACTATGTGACACCGGAAAACAGTGATTCCTGAGAAAAGAACAATAACCTGGGACTTCAAGACTAACAATTTCCAGGGCTCATCTAGGGACAGGAATTTTTCTAATTTCCTCCAACAATAGTGGAGAGTATCATGGTAAATATAAGTGATATTCAGTAGACCCCAGGATGGCCACACAGCAGCTAAATATGTCCTAGAAAGAAAAAGATAAATACTGGATGAACTTACTTATAGGTGGAATATGGAGAAGCCAACCGAAAGGTCAAGAAAAAGTCAAAACAAACAAGCTGACCATAGAACTGAGGCATACAGCAGAGGGGGAGGAGAGAGCAAAACTGGGGAGGGATGAACACAAGGGAATATGGTGATGGTTCATAGGTGATATGGTGGCAGGAGAACTGTGGGGACTAAAACAATGTAAGAAAAAATTTTTATCTAAAAATAGAAAATATTGGGCCTCCCCAGTGGCGCTGCTTGCGAAGCTGCCTGCAGCCTCTACAGTGCCAGTTCGATCCCCAGCTGCTCCCCGGCCACCAGAGGGAGGGTCCCACATGGCGCACAGACCTCTCCTGCCGCCCGCTGCTCCCTTCAGCAGTGTACTTCAGTCTGCCTGCTCTGCTCCCCACTCTGGCTCTGGTGAATTCTCTCACCCTCCCGCACTTCTGACTGTGCCCAGTGCTTGTATAAATAAAAAATAAATCTTTAATAGAAAAAAAATTTAAAAAAAGGAAGATTTAAAAAAATGAATTACTCCTACAATGAAAACTACTATACACCTGCTCTAAACCCTTAAACTCAAAAGCATCAAGTTAATTTGCAGTAACTCAACTTTCCACCAGGAAAAGTCTAATATTCTTTAAAGGAATATAATAAAGTGTAATAATCAACATAAAATCACAATACTTAACATCTAATCAAAATTTCAAGACCTATGACAAACCAGGAAAATGTGACTCATAGTGAGATGAAAAATCAGTCAACAGAAACAGGCCCAGAAATTATGAAATGACATTGAAATTATGACAATATGAAAATCCATTAAAACCTGGTATAGTATTATAAATCTGTTACATTGGCTCAAAGATATAAAGAAAACATGAGAGAAACAGAAAATGTTAAAAAATAACTAGATGGAGGGCCTCCCCGGTGGCGCAGTGGTTGAGCGCTGGGCTGCGAAGCTACCCGCAGCCTCTGCAGCACCAGTTCGATCCCCAGCCGCCAGCAAGGGTCCCACATGGCACACAGACCTCTCCTGCCCCACCTGATGCTCCCCTCAGCAGTGTATTTCATCAGTCTGCCTCTTCTGTTCCCCGCTCTGGTTCTGGTGAATTCTCTCACCCTCCCACGCTTCTGACTGTACCCAATGCTTGTATAAATCAATCTTTTTTTTTTTAAAGATTGATCTTTTTATTTATACAAGCACTGGGTACAGTCAGAAGCATGGGAGGGTGAGAGACTTCACCAGAGTCAGAGCGGGGAGCAGAACAGACAGACTGACGAAATACAATGCTGAGGGGAGCAGCGGGCACGGCAGGAGAGGTCTGCGCATTGTGTGGGATCCTCACCTGGTGGCCGGGGATTGAACCGGCACTGCAGAGGCTACGGGCAGCTTCTCAACCCAGCGCTCAACCGCTGCACCACTGGGGAGGCCCAAATCAATCTTTTATGTAAAAAAAAAAAAAAAAAGAACTAGACGGAAGGAACTTGTAGAGATAAAAATACCTGAAATGCAAATTACACTGGATGGTATTTACAGTAGATTGCATTTTATTTTGGAGAGGAAAAACTTAAAAATAGCAATAGAATCTATTCAAAATAAAGCACAGAGACGAAAAAAATATTTAAAAAATGAACCCATGGAATGTTACCTTGTAGTCCAAAACTAGGGAAAGGTGAAAAATGTTTGAAGAAATAAAGAAGAAACCACGTGTATCATAATCAAATTGCCAAACACCAACAATGAAGAGGAAATATCTAAAGTAGCCATACACACCAACCCCCACCCCCCAAATTTTATAGAGAGGAACAAAGAGTTAAAAGCAGACTTCCTAATGGACAATTATGCAAATAACAAAACACCTTTCATTACTGTTATCCTAGAATTCTATACCCAGCCAAAATAACTTTCAAAAGATAAATCAAAACAAAATATTTTTCAGCCAATATTTTCACAGTCAGAAGATGTGACATGCAAGCACTATTAAGTTTTTTAGGCAGAAAGATACAAATCTACAGATTTAAATCTATAAATCTGTATAATGGAATAAAGACTGATAAGATAGTATGTGTATATGTAAGGAAACATAAAAGACATTTCCCCCCTCATTTTCATGGTTCTGGTATTCTAGAGTTTCTAACAGAAATAAAAGTCAAAGGTATGGAAACAATATCATAAAATGGGGGAGAGAGGCACAGAGAAGTGGAACTTTGTTATTATAAAGTTCTAACTATATATATGAAGTGTAAAAAAATTGCAAACTCTAGAGCAACCACAAAGAAGTGCAAGTCAACAATGGAGATAAAACAGGGCTTGTGCAAATAAGCTAAAAGAATTCAGGAAAAGAAAAAGTGGGAGAACAAATGGGACAGATTGAAAAACCAATAGAAAGATGGTGGATTTTAATCTGATCTAATCAATAACATTAAATATAAATTATCTAAATACAATTAAAAGGCAGAAATTGTCACTGGATAAAAAAAAAAGAAAGACTATGTTGCTGCCTACAAAGAAACACACGTTAAAAGACAAGTTAAAGGGCCTCCCAGGTGGTGCAGCGGTTGAGCGCTGGGCTGCGAAGCTGCCCGCAGCCTCTGCAGCGCCAGTTCAATCCCCCGCCACCGGCGAGGGTCCCACATGGCGCGCAGACCTCTCCTGCCGCCCATTGCTCCCCTCAGCAGTGTACTTCGGTCCTTCTGCCTGCTCTGCTCCCCGCTCTGGCTCTGGTGAATTCTCTCACCCTCCCGCGCTTCTGACTGTACCCAGTGCATGTATAAACAAAACAAACAAACAAACAAACAAACAAATAAATAAATAAAACATGCCTCTTAAAAAAAAAAAAAAAGACAAGTTAAAGTGAAGGATGGGAAAAATACACTACCCCATTGCTAGACTAATATGACTATACTAGTATCAGAGTAAACTTCAGGTTTCATAATTCATAATATCAGAGTTAAAGGTTATTTCCTAATAATGAAAAGGTCAATCCTTCAAATCTTTAACAGTCCTACATGTATGCACAGCACTTTACAAGGGAGCTTCAAAATACATGAGCAAAAAATCTGATAAAAATGAAGAGAAAAAGATAAATCCAGTAATTCACTGACGATTCCAGCATTCCTCTCTCAGTATTTCATGGAACAAGTAAAGGACATAAAGACCTGAAAGACATTATCAACGAGTTTAACCTCAAAAGTATTTTCACAAGCACTCCATACACATTCTTTTTTCGAGAAAATTCTCCAAGATATGTTTGTGGCCATCAAGCAGGTCTTGATAAATTCAAAAAGTTTAAATCATACACAGTATATTCGAAAAGGAAAGATACTACAGTTGATCTTAGCCAAAAGGCCAAGAAGCAATTCGAAGAGGAAAGACAAATAAATGGCTGTAGGGATGAAACGAGGTTGGGTCTGAAGTGCTTGAACCAGAAGCAGCACCTGATCAGGCTCCGCAGTCACCAGGAATCTCCGTAGGGGACCGCTGGGGCAATCAAGGGAGAAGACATGCCAATGGCTCTGGGGCTGTAAAGCCAAGAAGCCAAGGAGCCAAGGAAAGCAGGGTGGACTTCACCAACGTGCGGTCCTTGACCCCCCTGGTTCCCATGCCCACCCACTTTGTATGACCCTGAGGATGTGAACTAGTCTCTCTAGGTTTGTTGTATTCAGAGGACCCTGATGGGCCTTGGCCACCAGCCGCGGTCCTCATTCTGGGGCTCCCGTGATGCCCTACTCCGCGGCCGCGGTGAGGACGCCCTACCTGGCAGCCCACCACCTCGGCCGCGTCTGGGTAGACCGGGGGAGGCTGCTGCAGGCAGCACAGGTAGAAGGCAGTGTCGAAGCGGCGGAGGCCCAAGCGTGTGAAGGGCGTGAGCCAAGAGCTCCAATCGTGCAGGGCCCAGATGTCGGGCGTGCAGTCAAGGTCGGCGCACAGGTGCAGGAAGTGGCGCGGGTCCTCGCGGACGCGGGCGCGCCAGGCTTCCAGGCCCGGCGTCTGCTCGAGGGGGCGGCCCAGCACGGGCGCGGCGGGCGGGGAGTCTCTGGGCCGCAGCAGCAGCAGGCCCGCCTCCTCGAAGGTCTCGCGGATGGCGCAGATACGAAAGGCGACGTCATCGGGCAGCGCCGCGGGGTCCCCGTCGGCGACGTCGGGCAGCACCGGGAAGGCGGCGCGCGAGGGCGGCGACGGGCCCAGGCCGAAGCGCGGCGGCCGGTGGTTCGGCGCGAAGAGGCGCAGCCATTCGGCCGAGCGGTCGGCCGCGTCCAGCACGCCCCCCGGGAAGACGTGCGCCCCGGGCATGAAGCCTTGGCGCGAGGAGCGCTGCAGCAGCAGCACCCGGAAGCCCTCGTCGGGCGGCGACGCCGCGGCCGGGCTCGGGCGCGTCCAGCCGGCCGCCAGCATCAGGGTGGCCGCCCGCCGCCAGCTGCTGGAACCCGGCCGCAGGGAGCCGCTCATGGCGGTCGGCGGCGCGCGGCTTCCGGGCCCCGGGTTCGGGCCGGCCAGGAGCGCCTGGACGCTGAAACTGCCGCCCGCTGAGGTCGTCCGGGCGTGAGGACGGAGGCCGGTCATGGAGGGCGAACTCCCGGCCCGGTGTAGGCTGGGCGCCGGGTGAACCCTGCCAGGGGGAGGAGCACGGCGAGCCCTCCTCCCAGCCCGGCGCTCTCGCGGGACCGGGACCGTCGGCGCCGCCCGCGCGGGATGGATAGTCGCGGCCGCCCCTAAGGAGGGTGGCATTATACCCACCCGGGACGCTCTGACCCAGCTCAGGGAGGCTTGGCGGCGCACGTGACCGGCCAAGGTAAAACTACGATGCCGTGTTTTCACCAGCCGTCGTGACACCTACCCCACCAAACCCCGAGAGCTAGGACTTAATCCCTTAAATCGGGTCGACAAGTAGGTGTGTTTACTTTGGCAGGGGGGCGGCCCAATGGGCGTGGCTGACCTTTCCAGATTCTCTTAAACCCCACCAGTGAGAAACTCGTGTGGGAACGAGCTGCCAAATTATATGTTTCCCACTGCACAGCCGCGTGTGAAAGGTCCACCTTGAGTCCCCCAGACGTCATGATCATGTATTCTGGACCCTTTTTATTGTCTGGGCAGCTGCTCCCCTCAGCAGTGTACCTCGGTCCCCCTGCCTGCTCTGCTCCCCACTCTGGCTCTGGTGAATCCTCTGACCCTCCCGCGCTTCTGACTGTACCCAGTGCTTGTATAAATAAATAAATAAATCTTAAAAAAAATGATTTATTTATTTATGATTACAACAACTGGGGTACAGGCCAGAAGTGTGGGAGGTGAGAGGATTCACCAGAGACAGAGCAGGGAACATAACAGGCAGCTTGACCAAAGTTCTCTGCTGAGGGGAGCAGCGGGCGAGTCAGGAAAGGTCCGCTGCGCCATGGCCATGTGGATAGTAGCTACCTGGCCGGGGGTTGAATTCATGCTGCAGAGGCTGCAGAGAGCCCCACAGTGCTGTCCTCAACCCCTTGCGCCACCAGGGAGGCCTCCACCGACATTCTTAGTGGCTGTAATACTCCCTTCTCCAAAAGAAATATTACTGTTTTTTAAGAAAGGCCTGTTTAAATCTGGGTTTTCTCTTTTACAGTCCCTCATCAGTTGCCAACAACTCCCACAATAGCCCTTGGGATTTATCACACATACCTATGTTTTTGGATGAGATACAGACTACTTTTGGTCTCATTTGCATATCATGCGTTATGGGTCATTTCCTGGGGGTGAAGACACACATGGCACTGCTAGTATTTTGGCTGATTTTTGTTAGTATCATTTTCTAAAGGTGCAAATCCCTGTGTACTGACTGCATCCCCAAAACAAAAATAGCCACATACAGAGAAAAACAAAGGGAGGGCTGTTGTCCAGTGGGATGATCTGCCAATTTTCATGGGTCCTGCATTTGCAGAATCTCAGTTGGGCCCCTCCCTGGACTTCTTCCTGACTGCATGCGACTCTGTTCTGAGACAGTCAGTTCAGAATCTTACTGAGTTGGGGTTGACACATTGAAGCCTGTGTTTTTAACCATCCTGGACTGTGCAGGTGAGTGCAGTCCTGTTAGGCATGGGGAGCCTAGAAAAGTAATATTGCCAGCAATGTGGTGACTCCATTGGATGGGACTGGACTGGAGGCCCACCCGAAGGTGCTAAACAAGAAATAATGAGGGCCTAAGCCAGGAGCGTGGCTGTGGAGAGTGGAGCAAAGGGAGTGATTTAGAGAGTATTTAAGGAGAAGACTGGATGTAATGTGGTAATTGGTTGACTATACAGAATAAGGGAAAGCAAGAAGTTAAGATTCTAGCTTGGGAGATAATGCTAGGTATGAAAATATTAGTAATTACTAAGCATCTGCTGTGTGTGAGGCACTAGGAACTTTGTGAGAATTAGCTCTATAATCTTTACAAAATCCTATAAATTGGAAATAACTTGCCATATACAGATGGGAAACTACTAACTGGTTAAGTACCATGACATACTGCTCTTCAGTATAGAACAATATTACATTTTGTAGGTATAAATGTTTATTTCCGTATCATCTACTTTTTCCAAAGGCTCATCCTGAGTGAGATGACCATGCCTGGAGTGCATAGCAAAGTGGATCTTCTCCAACACAGCAGCCTCCAGAAATGCACACACTGCCATGCCAGTTTTACGCAGGACCTGTTGGGAGCCTGCTGCCTAAAGGCAGCTAGAGTTTTTGGAGAATACCTGTTTACTCTGCATACAGAGTTCCAGGATCTTAGAAGTTCTGCAAACTTCTAAGAATTGACTTCTGTTTTCTGAGGACGTGCTGGCTTGTGTGCATGTTCCCTACTAGCCAGGAAAACTTGTATTCAGCAGTAGCTTATTAATCTGTATAAGCATAATCACAATTGCACACTATTTTCTTGTTCCTTTGCTCATATCTTTAATAAAAGCTTGGGCTGGGAGAGTGAAAGGCAGAACTGCTCTTAATGGCACTCTCCCCAGCCTCCCACCATTGCATATTCATTTAGGCTCCGAACCTTCGTTAATGGCAGAGAACTTCATCGGCTATCCTTTCCGCAGCAAGGGCCCTCTGTGCTGATATAGTGCCAATTTATTTATGTAACCAGAGCTCAAACCTATAACCTCGGTTACCTGAACTGCAGCCAAGAACCAAGGCAGAAGCAAAGAACAGATTCTGAGTAGCAAAACAGATACAATATTCAGATTTTAAAGTGCCATGCTGGTAGATGAAATTGCTATGTGGATATATTACTTACCTATTGCTATTACCAAGTTCTTGTAAACTTGGCCCGTTAAAACAGTAAACATTTACTCTCTCACAATTTCTGTGAATCAAGAATTTGGACGGTGGTGACTCAGTATTTCCCAGTAGATTATGTTCAGTGTGTCAACTGGGGCTGGGACTTAATGGACTGGGGCATCCATTTTAACAGTGGCTCACTCAGGTGGCTATTGGTTGGAGGCCTCAGTTCCTCTCTACTTGGCAGTTGAGAGGCAACTTGGCAGTTAATTTACCTCAGAGGGAGGGACCTAAGGAAGAGGAAGAAGCCATGGTGCCTTTTATGACTTAACCTCAAAAGACATTCTGTCCTTTAAAGTGTCTTATTTTATTTTTTGAAATATTCATTTATTTATGCATACAAGAACTGGGGTACAGGCCAGAGGATCACCAGAGACAGAGTGGAGAGCAGAATAGGCAGATTGACTGAAATACACTGCTGAGGGGAGCAGTGGGTGAGACAGGAGAGGTCTGCTGTGCCATGTGGGTCTCCTCCCTGGCCAGGGATCAAACTCAGTGCTTCTGTGGCTGCAGATAGCTTCATAGGCTGCATCTTAACCCCTTGCACCACCAGGGAGGCCCTCAAGTGTCCTATTTTAATACTAGTCAACTCTACTCATTGTGAGAAGAGACTACACAAAGTACCAGGAGGTGGGGACATTGGGGGTCATCTTGGGCAGCAGGCTACCAAAATGAATAAAAAATGAAACCATCTCAGCATTAGAAGAAAACAGGTAAATTGTAATCTTTGACTGAAATTATAGAAGCAATAAGGGAAAAGAAAGAACAATGTGACATTCTTTTTTTTTTTTTGTATTATAACAACCATGGCAAAAAACACCCTAAGGAATTCTGGAAGTAAGCTGGAAAAATTATGTTGTATCTGTCACAGGGATGAAAATTGAGAAGAAATAGGGTAGAAAAAACCTCCAGAAGTGTAGAAAAATGGGCACAGGATGTGAAAAGACAGTTCATAGTGATTTCTTTAAAGTCACGCTGTTTCCAAGTATTGAAATCTTGTCTTCAAATCTTTTGGCTTGTTCTCAAAGTGCCCTGCCCAGCCCTGTCCTGCCAGGGGCATGGGGCCAGCTTCCCTGGGCCTAAGAGTGGGTGCACAGAACCATCCCCCAAGAATGCTGGAGGTGGCACAGTGGTTGAGCGCTGGGTTGCGAAGCTGCCCGCAGACGCCACGGCGCCGGTTCGATCCCCGGCTGCTCCCCGGCCACTGGAGGAGGGTTCCGCATGGCGCGCAGACCTCTCCTGCCGCCCGCTGCTCCCCTCAGCAGTGTACTTCGGTCCTTCTGCCTGCTCTGCTCCCCGCTCTGGCTCTGGTGAATTCTCTCACCCTCCCGCGCTTCTGACTGTACCCAGTGCTTGTATAAATAAATAAATAAATCTTTAAAAAAAAAAAAAAAAAAAAAGAATGCTGGAGGTGACCATGGGCCATTTGGTCATGAGAGCAAGACTGTTTATGACAACGGTTGCTTCCTAGCTGAAGACAGTTGCCTCTTCCTTATTCCATTCTACTGGTCTTTTCCAACTATCTTTACAATGAGAAATTTCCTTGTTTGACTTATTGGAATATACATGCATGCAGAAAGAAAAACTTCCCAAACATATCATGTTGCATTTTATCTCTGGCTCTAAGTGGGCTTTTATTTCAGTCTCTAATTCATTGAGCTCAAGTTCATTTCTGTTATCCATTATTCATCAGGTTTTTCAGTTAAAAAAAAAAATCAGGAAAAGAGTGTGATTTGCAGGGCTACCCATGGAGAGGTGACTTCATCTTGAACTTGGAGACTCAATAGTAGCAGGAAGTCTGTTCATCCTGCCTAGAAACCAAGGCATGTCACTGGGGTTCAACAAGTCACCTGCAAATGACCAGAAACTCAGTGCACAAAGAATCATCACATAAAAATTGTTTCTTAAGGGACGCCCCTGGTGGTCTAGTAAGTCTCGCCACTATCACTGCTGTGGTCTGAGTTTGATCCCCGGCCAGGGAGCTGACCTGCGTGGTGCAGCAAACCTCTCCTGTCTCGCCCGCTGCTCCCCTCAGCAGTGTATTTCAGTAAATCTGCCTGTTCTGCTCCCCCATTCTGTCTCTGGTGAATCCTCTCACCCACCCCCATCCCACACCTCTGCTAACACCCCAGTTCCTCTATGCAAAAAAAAAAAAAAGT